ATATATAAAGGTAGGGGTGTGTGTGTGTGTGTGTGTGTGTGTGTATGCACGCATGTGCATGTATTAATCAATTTCATACCTCAAATTTAAAATAGAGACTTTTTAACCCAAGATATTAAGGTTTAACATTTTTCTTTCTGAATATTGCTATACATATATATATATATACATATATATATACACACATATATGTGTCATTTTGATAATGACAGCTCTAATTTTGAAAGTGCTTTCTATAATTTCATAGTATCATTTTATCCATTAAAACTACATACAATAGTAAGGTTTTATATATATATATATATATATATATATATTCATGGATATATCTCCATGGAATACATCCATATATTCATGGAATACTACTCAGCCATTAAAAAGAACAAAATAGTGTCTTTTGCAGCAAAATTGGATGGAGCTTGAGGCCATTATTCCAAGTCAAGGAACACAGGAGTGGAAAACCAAAAACCATTAAAAGTGGGAGCTAAACTACGAGTACACAAAAGCATACAGAGTGATATAATGGACTTAAGGGACTTAGAAGGGGAAGAGTGGGAGATGGGCTAGGGATAAAAAAACACTGCACATTAGGTACAATGTACACTACTCGAGTCATAGGTGCACTAAAATCTATTCACCGCTATATAATTCATACATGTGACAAAAAACCACATGTAACCCAAATGCTATTGAATTTTTTTTAAAAGAAGAGGGAGGATAAACCTATATATTAAGAGTGTTATGAGATATATCAAAATATAATTTTTTTCTTGATAATCATCAAATCATCCTGAGTATCATAAACAGTTTCCTGGCAAATTAAATCATTACTTTAACCTAGAAGGCCACTCAACCTTTATGTGCTCTGTAACTAAACACCTAGTCTTACGTAAACTGCATCTCCAGAGGACGCTGAGTATGTTGCATTACTTCATTTTTTCAAAGGTTCCAAAATTGCCATGTCAAGGCAATGGTTGTCAGACTGCTCCTCCCTAAGGATCTCTCCTATTTCACCACTGGGAAGCGTTCTCATTGTCTCCCAATGGAATGCTCCCAGCAGCAGTTACAGCCATATTAACTCGACAATTTGTATAGGCCTACATTCAAAGTAAAGACTGACAGATGAGGAAACCCCACCTTAATTTACAGTCTCCTTAAAGAGGATTTCTTACTTGACATTTGCATCTTTCAGGTGATCGTTAACAAGGAAATGGGAGATTCTTTTGCAAAAATGGAGAGAAAACATTCAAACTCAGTTTTTCCAAAGTGATTATATGAGTATTTTCAACAACAACAACAACAACAACAACAACAAGGAAGTATGTTTACATTCTCACTGTTAATAGAAATGGGCTACAGATTCCAAGTTGATCCCTTATCAATGCTATATTGAATTCACAATAATATAAAAAAAAAAAAAAATACAAGGAATAGGGCTGGGCGCGGTGGCTCAGGCCGGTAATCCCAGCACTTTGGGAAGCTGAGGGGGGCAGATCACCTGAGATGGGAAGTTGAAGACCAGCCTGACCAACATGGAGAACCCCGTCTCTACTAAAAATACAACATTAGCTGGGTCTGGTAGTGCATGCCTGTAATCCCAGCTACTCAGGAGGCTGAGGCAGGAGAACCACTTGAACCTCAGGGGCAGAGGTTGCAGTGAGCCACGATCCAGTTATTGCATTCCAGCCAAAGCAACAAGAGCGAAACTTGGTCTCAAAAAAAAAAAAAAGAATACAAGAAATAAAACACATGTAAGTTACCCTATTTATTGCTTTGCTTAATGTAAATCTCAGAAAACATAAAAACCAGGACCCCAGTCAGCTAACTTCAATGACTGCTTTATAATGAAAATCATATCTTAGGAACTGTGTTGATAAAACATTATGAACATTAAATGAAAATTCAACAATTTTAGCACAGCTTAAGAGAACAGTCATGTTTTATTTGCCTGACTTTGCACAAAGGGTCAGAAAGCCCATTTGTACACATACTGTACCTATGAGAGGATCTGAGCCCTGGAGCAGCCCCAGACTACTCTGGAACTTCTCTTAGAATCTGCTATGCTTATTATGCTCCTGCTAAGCCTGAGTCTCACTGGCTCTTTCCTCATTATCACAGAGTGATCTGGCCATTTACTATCTCTGAGTCCTTGTAAGGTACTTGACAACTGGGCTAATCGTACCTACCTCACACAGTTATTTTAAGAAATAAAGGAGAGAATTTGTTTAAAGCACCTAATACACAACATGGCTGGCACACAGTGGGCATTTAGTAACTGTTAGCTCTCTTCTCAAGTCCTGGATCTGGGTCCCAGTGCTGAATCAGACACCCCAGTTACCCAAGACACTCACATGGCAAGACCATGCAGAAGGTGGTAATGGTGCCTGGTCAAAATCCAGACAGGAAAGGCCTATCATTATGTTTTCTGACAAGATTTGTCATCTCAGGCTGTGCCAAGACTCAGGTAACTCATAAACTCTCATGGTCAACAGAAATAATCAAAGATAAGCCTATTGTTTCATTGAGATTTATGATTCTCACATTTTCAAAAAAAGAATATCTCTTCTGCTTACTTCTCTCTCATTGATGAAGTAGGACTAAATTGTCTTGGAGATGTCATTCAGGAACATATTCAAAAACCCATGTGGGCATGAATAATAATGTTTGATGTTAAATAGAAAGCCCCTGAACATAACTGCAGAATTCAAGGTAAAAATTTCTCCTCCTGTCTTTAGAAAAATCACAGGATTAAAAAAGACAATTCTGCTCTAAAATCATAGATTATTTAGAAAAATGCTATCAAGTATCTGAAGTATTTTACTTATTGTTCAGTAAGCTAAACGTGCTAGCAGCCCCAAGTGTGAACTCTCTCACTTTACCGCTCCTTTTCTATGGGAACTTTGATCATAGTTCCCCAATTTATAAAACAAAAACATCAATATCAAACATGTATAAAATGTAAAAGTAACCAAATGATTGTGTGTAGCAATTTCAATCTGCATGTGTTAAGGGTGGAGGCTGGAGCTTTATTCCCTCGTCATAACTATGTATAAATTCTACATAAAGTAGTTATGTATGCTAACATTTAAAATAAATCTCTCTCTCTCTCTCTTTTTTTTTTTTTTTTTTGAAGGAAAGGTTTTGGGAAAAGCATTTTTAGAAAATCTTCTGTTTGGGGAAAAGAAGACAATTTCAGAAATAACAGGTGGTCTTGCCAGAATAAGGCTATGGGCCCTGCATAACTAAATAGAGTTTAGAGATATAATACAGAACTTGAAACAGGAACTTTCTTAGTGGCAGAGAAATATCCAAACAAACTGGGAAAACAGAAACTGACCTAACTCATTTGGAAATGGGCTTGGCAGCTGACGAAATAGATGAACTATAATTAAGTAATGCAATAAAGGAGGTAAGCACTTTCATGACAACACAAACACACACAACACACACACTGGTAGGTAGTAACCAGGTTATTCATAGGCTCTTGCTGTCTCAAATTAGAATACTCAAGGAGACACCCAGAACAGACATGTGCATTGTTTAGATGCAACCTTACATGTGGGGGGAAAAAAGTGCTAAGTTATTCTGACCTCGAGGTTAATTTCTAACTCTAGGAAGACTGTCACCTTTCTAATTTAATTCTTTTCAAAACAAAGACAGCAAAGCCACATTGTTTACTGAGACTCTTCTAGCAAGTAGCTCAGTTTTGGCAGAAGCCACATATCTAGTTTCCACTTGTGTTCCTGAACTTAGACTTGTAAGTTTCAACTATGCATAATATGCATTTCATCAGGTCTCTCAACCCCTGAGATAAAGTGTGTCAAAATAGTAATTTAACAGTCACATCCTTCACAGGTAGAGTTAGTGTCTCGGGAATTAGCCTCATTTCAACTCAGGGAGAGTATGAGACTGGTGGTAACTTTTCTTTTCTTTTCTTTTTTTTTTTATTGCATTTTAGGTTTTGGGGTACATATGATGAACCTGGAAACCATTATTCTCAGCAAACTGACACAAGAGCAGAAAATCAAACACCATATATTCTCGCTCATAGGCGGGTGTTGAACAATGAGAACACATGGACACAGGGAGGGGAGCACTACACATTATTTTCTTATTAAGATATTCATACTTTCAAATTCCTTAAACGGAAGTTTAAGGAATTAGAACTGATTTTTTTTTTTTTTTCCAAACAGAAAGGCTATTTAGGAAAAATGTCCCTTGCCCACTAGAACTAAATCATCTTAAATAGGAAGACTGGCATTAAAATAACCCTCAGAGATCATAGGCGTCGGGGTACAGTGCAATTAGTAGCAAGTGCAGAGTGCTTTCTCCAGAGCCTGCTTGGAAGGCTGCAGGGGAAAACGGAAGCAGCAGGTATAGGGGCGAAGGGCGGTGGGGAGCGCCATGACTTGCCCACGCCCTTCTGCTCCAGGTACCCTCCACCAGCGTTTCATTTCTGTTGCGTTTGGAGCTCAGCCAGCTGGCACTGGCGCATACCAGCTCCCCCGGGAAAGCTTAACGAAGATAAATTACAGTGCAAGACAGAGGAGGGAGCTTTTTTTTTTTCCCCCGGCAAAAAAATTTCTTTTGTTTGGGTCTAGTTTCTATTCTCCACTCTCCAATAAAAGGGAACAAGACATGAAATGTCAACAGTGCATTCCAGGACTTTAGATTTCTAGGACAAGCAACTTAAAAAAAAAAAAAAAAGAAAACCACTTTTCAACCATTTTTATTTTGCTTCATGAGGAGATATTTTAATTCATGCATAACATATATGCCGATAATTAACTCACCAACAAAAGGCATTTTAACATCGATTCCCCGTCCCCACCCCCAGTCCCACCATAGGGAAAGACAGACTCACATAACAAGACCTAAGTTTAAATGGAGCACACTTGAACGTGGAGACAATTCCGTACGTGTCTAATGACAAATGCACAGGAGCCTTCCTTATTTGTCTCCTCTTTGGAGGGGCGGGAAGCCGGAGCAGGAGAGCTTACCCAGGCAGAGGAGCAGCGCGGGGACCCTGACGGCACAGAGCATCTCCATCCTCCTCCCCGCGGGCGGCGGCGACGGGCGCGGGCGCTGGGGCTGGGCCGGGGGCGGCTGCGGGGAGCGCACGGGCTCGTGGCAGTGGCTGGAGCGGCGGAGAGCCTGGAGCGGGCCACACTGCCGTGTCCCTCTGATACTGGAACTATCAGGCAAGTGAACTCAACTGTCCGGTGCTGCGAACTTTATACTCTTCTTTGGAGCCCCTCCCGGGCCCTAACGTCGTGAGGTCAAGAGTGCCCAGAGTTTCATAATTGGCCCAAGGAGGAGTGACAAGAGGACCGTCCGGAAGTCATCCTCCCTCTTTGGAGCACCTGAGTGTAGTGGCTGAGGAATGAAAATATGTCCTTCTGATTGGCCTGGGACTACTCCCCAAACTTTTCCATCTCCTTCGAGGAGGTAGGGAGCGTGGACTAGATGGGTTGGTTTGCTTTGTGGGGTCACCTGCCCTGCAGTGGGTGGTTTTGGTTGCTCAGGGTGACAGACATAACTTGAATCAGGCTTTCAGCTGAGGCTGGCGTTCCCAGTACGTGCTTTTAGAGAGCTGTGTGTGTGACTTACTAACTTGAGCCACGAAAACTCCCATGCTTGAGGTCTGTCAGTGATTCAAGCGCCCTCCTTGCATTTAAACGCCACCACCCAGAAATGCCTTTCCCATCTCTGCCTTCCTCCTGAGACCCCTGCTTCTCATGTGGCTCAGGCATTCACCACCTCAAAGTTGAGTCCTTGTGAAGAAAATCCCTGTTATTTTTGTTTTCTTCTGCTGTATTTGCTATCTATCAGGTTGCTGCTTTTGATATAACTTCCTCCTAAATATTGTCTTGATCCTGTCATTCCTTTGTACAAAACCTTTCAATGACTTCCCATTGCTTTTTGGACAAGGCCTGCCACAGATGTGAAGCCAATCAGTCTTTTCAACCTCAGCTCCCACTACTTCCCTAGACAGATTGCCTGACCCCAGCAAGGCTGGAAAACTCTCTAAGCCTTTGCTCACTCCCATTTTCATGCCTAGGCTGATGGAGTCATACTTCGAGGGAATGGCCACTTTTTAACAGAATTAGTCACATCCTGCTCAAATTCGTGGTTCTCCTTAAGGGCCTAGGCTTCTTGGGCTTATGGATCCCTTTTCATTCTGATCTCTTACAGCTTCTGTCTTTTATCTTCTCCTAGCCTCATAGAATTCTAGTCCTGGTACTTTACACCTGGGGAAGCTACTTTGTATTACCTAACTGTTTTTGTTTGTAAGTCCTATGTTCAGCTCTGTACTGTGTAAACTGTCTTTTTACTGAATTCCCCTGTAGGACCTAAGAACTATGAATCAATTCAGCAGTACTCATTTGAATGGAAATAGTGCATACTTGAATAGAAAATGGAATCTGATGGATTGTAGGTGAATTCTTACCGCATTCCCCTGTAGGACCTAAGAACTGTGAGTCAATTCGACAGTACTGATTTGAATGTAAGTAGTATATATTTGAATAGAAATGGAATCTAATGGATATTAACTCCTTACCTTTCTATTTCTACTTTTTAAAAAATTACTATTACCATTCCTCTTTTTTGTTTCTGGCTTCTTTTTCCCTTACCCTAAAGCCCTTTAATGTCCAGAATGCTCCTGTTAGTAACAAATACTTCATCATTTTTTCAGGGGTTAAGATTTAAACTATCTTCCTGTGAATTCCTGGACAAGTTGCTTAATCTGCCTCAATTTCCTCATATGTAAAACAGGAATAATAATAGTATCCAACTCACAGGAAAATAATGAAAGTGCTTAGTACAGTGCCTAGCACAGAGTTAGGGCTCACTAAAAATACACACCATTATATGCAAATGTTGATGCTTAGGATGGTGGTACTTGGTAGTTGGTCAATATTTGTGAGTTAAATGAATCAGTGAACAGTAGGATAGATAGAGGTAGGCTGGATTCCTAAGTCTAGCTTCCTAATCTATCAAGAAAGCAGGCACTGAGTGACTTCTCACTTAATTGCTTTTTTGGAAAAGAAGAAATGAAACCAAGGAAGATGATATTAGAAATAGGGTTATAGTTTTGTTAGGGATCCCAACTTTCATAAAATAGAATGGGGAAAAGTGACTTTTATGGTTACATAATGGCTTTGGTCCTACAAATTTAATCTGGAAAAAAAAAATTCCCAGTGTTGAGGAATGAAAGCAGAATTCAAATGAATGGAGTGTCAACTGGGAGCACTTTCTTGCAAGGAGTGAGAGCAAGAGTTTTTAATCCTGATTAATGTCTTGTTTCTTTAAATATAATGTGTTTTATGCTGAAAAGAAAGATGGTAGGGATGTGATGGTGAGAATGTGGTCATGCTGACAATAATTGACAACAGTCACCTCTGTGGTATTGATATGTGAAGAGGAATTTTTTCACTTTGTAACTGATACCTGCCAGCATGAGATATCATCACTGTGAAAAAAAAATCCTCGTGCTTGTCTCAAAATTTTCCACAGCAATGTGCTCTTCTGTGGGTTGATTTTATATGATGTGAAGAAATCTTTTATTTATTGGTTCTATGTTTACTCAATTTTCTAGCCATTAGATTTCGAGAATGACTCCACCATGACACATCAGAGAATTTGCACTGCCTCCGCAAAATAGTATTCTTTTTTTTTTAAATAATTGGGAACAATTTTCATTAATTGTTCATTTAAATATATATACATAGTATGAGGGATAATCATAATTCTTCTTAAAGGCACAGAGCTTATTTAAAGATAGAATAGTTTGGGAAGAAAATAACCAAGTCATAGAATTTTCCAACTAGGAAGTGACTTTAATACATCAGCAATGTCAGCAATTCCCAGTTTGAGACATACTAGGATTCCTTTCTAAGGGGTTGGTAAATCTAAATGTTATTTATAGACTAAAAACACACATATTTGTATAAATTCTCTTTTAAACATACATTAAGCCTCTATAGTGATTAGTAACGTGTTCATTTTAAGTTGATACTGAATTCATAAAGGCTGTGGGCCATGTGTTTTTTAACTGATATAGAGCAAACATGTAAACACTGTTAAATGAGGAAGAGGAATCCTGCAGAAAATAATTCTTTTAAATTAATAGAGATTCCTCTCATGAGAAAAATTAGGAAATCCTAGACTAGGAGCTCACACACGGTCTCTAAACTGATGTCAGTGTCTACAATAGGTTTCTATTGTAGACTGCAATCAGATGAAGCCGTGGGCCCTACCCATAGAGCCAGCATTTAGCAACATACAAGGACATATAACACCTTACAATTCTTCAATCTCTTTCTTTTTCTGTCAAGTTGTTGTTTCTTCTGATGATAACTGGCACTTGTTTATTATGAAATTACTGCTTTTCTAATTAAAAAAGAAGAGCATAGCTACTTTTGTGAATTAGTTTTTACATAACACAAAAGTTTCAAGTCGTTTATTAGTCCTTAGCAAAAACCACTGAGATAAAATGGTATTAAATTGCCTTTTTACAATTAAGGAATTGAAAAATTTAGGAAAGTGTTCAAGATCAAATTGTTTCATTTAATATTAAAAAAGACCTTAAATATGAATTCTGTTCTAGCAGATGCTAAGTTTTTATTGATGTTATTATAAATTTAATTGCATGTTCACCATATGGGATCCTTTTAGCAAGAATTTATGGCTTTTATGATAATTTTTTTTTTTTGAGACGAAGTTTCGCTCTTGTTGCCCAGTCTAAAGTGCAATAGCACAATCTTGCAATAGCACAATCACAACCTCCCACTTCAGGTTCCAGTGATTCTCCTTCCTCAGCCTCCCAAGTAGCTGTAACTGTAGGCACACACCCCAATGCCCAGTTGATTTTGTATTTTTAGTAGAGGCGGTGTTTCACCATGTTAAGCAGGCTGGTTTCAAACTCTCAACCTCAGATAATCCACCTGCCTCAGCCTCCCAAAGTGCTGGGATTAGAGGCATGAGCCACTGCACTGGGTCAGTAATAGCATTTTTATAGAGATATACATAGATATAGACAGGTGAAATTCTGAACCCAAAAAACAATCCAGTTAGAGACAAAATATAGAAAAGGAAGGAACATATATTGAATGTAGTAAATACTCTTCTTTACTTAAATAATTTTTATCATAGATTTTTTAAAAGTACTTTTTCTATGGACTAATCCATTCTTCAATTGGTTTGATAACTCAAAAAGAAAATGATCTTATTTTTCTTTCCATGTATAATTAGATGTAGAAGAAAACAAGAACTAAGAAAGTTTTAAAGTTTACTGAAATCCGAATCACATTTTCTTCTTGATTAACTTGATAATTTGAGAGTTTTTCTGAAATTAAAAATTATCCAACACATTTAAAAATTCACATACTATTTGAGTGTTCAGTGAATGATATGGATGGCAAATTAGCCAATAGTTGGTTAGATGAGAGAATTCATTGAAACACAATTTATTTTATTTGTGGTTTCATTGAGATTCAAATCTATAGGTGGAAAGGAACATGGAAGTAATCGATACTTCTTCTTAAATCTAAATGAATGACAAATAATAAGAGTAACAGCAGCAAATATTTCTACCTGATGCTTACAACTCACTAAGTGGTTCAAAATATATTTGCTGGCCAGATGCAGTGGCTTATGACTATCATCTCAGTGATCTGGGAGGCTGAGGCAGGAGGATTTCTTGAGCTCAGGAGTTTGATACTAGCCTGGGCAACATAGTGAGACTTTGTCTCTACAAAAAATTAAAATTAAAAAAATTAGCCAGACAAAGTGGCACATGTCTGTCATCCCACTTACTTGAATGCTGAGGTGCGAGGACCACTTGAGCCCAGGAGGTCAAGGTTACAGTGAGCCACGATTATACTACTACATTCCAGTCTGGACAACAGAGTAAGACCCTGTCTCATAAAAGTAAAATAAAATGAAATATAAATATATCTGCTTATTTATTCCTCAAAATAGCCCTATGAAGTAAGTACTCTTTAATTTCCATTTTATAGATTAAAGCACAAAAGATTAAGAAATTTGTCCAAGGTTCTTTAGCTCATAAATTGCAGAGATGGGATTCAAACCAGGCAGCCTGACAACAGCATCTGTGTAGTCTTTGCCGTCATATTCTATTGCTTTAACCTGTAGCATTTAGTGCACCTAAAGTTCAGAGTTTGTTATACATATGATACTCTCAGTTTTTAAG